GGAATTGGACCGAGGCGCTCCAAAACTGATTTCTTCCTTTGGGACGATTCTGCACGATCTCCCGGAAAAGCTATTAGAATTACCGGCGACTTGGGTTGATTCGCCGGTGGATGAACTTTCGTTGGAGGCTGCTTCGGCCTCCATACTTGGCGGGTTGGTAATGACTTTTTGGCCACTCTTTCTTCCTCCAACTTTTTGGCCTCCAGCACAAGAATTTTTGCTTGTTCGAGTAACGCGCGGCGTTTGTGAATCCGCTCTTCAAGTGTCGAACGGTTCCGTTTGACCCGGATCCATTCGTTCGTTGGCGACCTGGAGGAGCTGCCATACTTCAGTTGTTGAGGCTGTTTGCCTCCTCTGTTCTTCAGATCCACGTTGTAGCGGATCCCGTCAACAGACTCCATGGCTTTGGCGAATTCTTTGGCTAAACGTTGGCGTCGCCTTTGGCGGTCTCTCTTTGAGAGAGTCACCGCTCCTTTGGTGATGGAGGAATTGGTTGGAACCAGCTTGATCTGGTTGGAGGTTGGTGGAGCCTCACCCGACACAACTTTGGCGTCACTTTTCTCCTAGAGGAGAACTTATTTGACTTGCGGGGGGAGGTGGATCCGGACGAGGATGACAGATACTCCTCGAACTTCTGTTGATCGAATTCATATTCGACCTCCTCTTCGACCGGGATCGAGATCCGCGGCTGCGACGCAACGATCTCGGCAGCGAGATCGGTGGCTCCCACTGTGGTCGCCAGATTGTTCGCGAGAAAAATCGTGTCTTTCTTTGTAATTGATTCCATTGCCATCTTAAATAACAGCTTTTTAAGTTACAAAAGATCCAGTCTTTTTATAAGATCCGGTTACAATGAAAATCAAAGAAAAATAAACAAAGATTACAACTTTCTCCTTTTGTGTCGAACGAATCGCGAGCTTCTGTTTTGCGGTCGCTCGCTTTTGTGGGTTCTTTGCCAGCGCCGGGGTTTATCTGTGGACCACCGCGCGATCTAGATCCGGTCGGATCTACGTAGTACGACAGGTATTATTTCGCCAAGGAAATAATAGCTGGGGGGATTGGTTCACCAAGGAAACAATCGCCCAAATCTCGGGATCAAAGACCAAGCTTTGATCCGGAGTACGCCTGCGTAGATATGAGATCCGGTCCTCTCGAACTCTTGCCTTATTTGGCGTTGACGATCGCCGAGCACCAGATCTGGATGAACAAGTTCTTGAAGTACTAAAGTTTGAATCTTTTTTTTAGATCTGAGTCTTCAATCCAGCAGGGTTTCGCCTCCAAAAAATCCAACCTCTGAACAAATGAACCACTTCTCCTATTTATAGGCCACCTTCACTGTGCCCGCGCATAGGTGGCCGACACACCGAGCCACCTCAGGGTGGCTCGGCTTTGGCCGAGCCACCTAGAGGTGGCTCGGTTTCGGCCGAGCCCCCCCTTAGGCGTGGTTTTTCGTTTTTTCCGTTTTTCGGTTCAATCCGTGATCCGGTTCTGTGGTTGATTTATCCGGGCTTGATTTGTTGATCTGATTTGGCAGTAAATCCGATTCTGAGTTCGAGTCCGAAACTGATCTTGATTCGATCGTGATCCGTCCGAGTCTGCCCTTTGATGGATGACTCGTTGACTCTTCAACCCGTTAGCTTGATTCCGCACGCGAGTGGATTTATTCCGTTGTTTGGTGCGGTTCATTAGCTTCGTAGCCTCGTTAATCTGCTTTATCGCGTATCGCTTGGCTTCGGCGTTGTGGAGTAACAATCGTGTCTGCATACGGCGCCCGATGGTCGGTTCGTCGAATCGGCGTTGTCGAGCTGTGTTAAGGCCCGTTAGCTTGATTCCGCACGCGAGTGGATTTATTCCGTTGTTTGCGTGCGGTTCATTAGCTTCGTAGTCTCGTTAATCCGCTTTATCGTGTATCGCTTGGCTTCGGCGTTGTGGAGTAACAATCGTGTCTGCATACGGCGCCCGATGGTCGGTTCGTCGAATCGGCGTTGTCGAGCTGTGTTAAGGGACCTATAGGCAGTTTTATACGCCTACACCCCTCTTGCTAAATAATAACAAGTCATCAGCAAAAGTAAGATGTGTTATCTTGAGCCTTCTACATTTAGAATGAAATTTGAATTGTTTGTCATTTTTCAATAAGTCCATGCATCTTGAGAGGTATTCCATACCAAAGATAAAAAGATAAGGGGATAGAGGATCACCCTGTCTCGAACCCCTTTTACCCTTGAAATACCCATTGAGAGAGATAGAATATGAAGGGGGAGATATACATGTCATAATCTAATCCACCATCTTATTTGGAAAGCCCAGGCCCCTAAGCATATCTTTCAAAAAATTCCATCTAATTGTGTCAAATGATTTTTTGATATCAATACTAAGCATAACTCTTGGGGAGATGCATTTTCTACTATATATAATTCTTTATCAGTTCATGTGCAAGCAGGATGTTATTAGTGATTTGTCTACCTTCCACAAATGCACTTTGAGCTTCATTGACAAGAAAACCCATAACTGTTTTAATCCTATTCACTAAATTTTTTGAAATGATCTTGTAAAGGACATTACAGCAAGAGATAGGTCTGAAGTCTTATGGAGAAGCAGGACAATGAACTTTTGGAATGAGAGAAATAGAAGTAGAGTTAACCATATCCAAAAGCTTTCCACTTTTGAAGAACTCCTCAATAGCTTGAATTACTTCGTCTCCTACAACACTCCAAGCAGATTTGAAGAAGACAACATTATAACCATCTGCCCAGGGGCTTTATTGTCTGACATGGAATAAATTGCATCTCTGATTTCCTCTTTGGTAACTGAAGAAGTTAAATCCCTAGATTGAATATCATTTAAGCATGGCCTTGAATGAATGATGTTAATATTGGGAGGAGAGGTATCTATGATAGTTCCCATCAGGCTTTTGAAATGAGAGATTAATTCATTTGCAATACCTTCACCATCAGTGATCCTTTGTCCCAAATTGTCATATAGAACCATAATCCTATTTTTATGCCTGTCAGCCTTAATCACTGAATGAAAAAGATTTGTACATCTATCCCCATGAACACTCCAGGAAATTCTTGCTTTTTGCCGAGAAAAAAATTCTGAATTTAGGAACGATCTTTTGTTATGTGTTGGTTGCTCTAATAGTTTTGTAAGGTAGAATGGGAAGAACATGAGTTAGTACTCCTGCTATCTATACTGTCCTCTCTGGTATGTCTGAGGAAAACTATTGGTACCCTTTGCTCCAGAGCATATTCACAATTCCAAAATCTTGTTTCTTGTTTTGGCTTGCTTGCTTGAATAGACTTTCTACTAAGGAGAGAATTCATCACATTGGTGTTATTCAAGATGATGGATATGCATTCTGTGATACTCATACTGAATCTAGTGATCATCTGTGCTCTTAGTTTGCTAGTGTGGAGGATCTTCATGGATTTTATTTGTACGACTAGCCCACCTCATGATTAGCTTTCTTGCAAGATGGATAATTTTTTATCCATAATTTGAGTCCTCGTCAATAAGGTCACCTGCATTTATTTTTGGCGAAGGTAGGTGGGCTCAAGAACATAGTCTAGAGACCCAAAAATCCATCCTTTGCTCCTTATCCTCAAATTAAACCTATCCAAAATTAGAAAATTTTAATTATAATCAAATATTTGGGATCCTAATCAAATCACAATTATCTATGATTAAAAACTTAAATAATCTTTTTTTATTTCTCTTTAATTGTACATAATAAAAAAATATTGTGATCATATTTTTAATTCTCTTTTTTTATATATAAATAAGTGAGTAAAGGTTTACTATTAGTCTTACATTTCAAAACATTGTCACGGGGATCTCCATAATTCTTTTAAAGATAAATTTCACTAGACCTTCAATAAACCTGTAAATTCTCTAGAACCCCTGATATTTTTTAGAATTTTAGAAAATTACTAAAACGGTTTGATTTTTTACACTTAACCCTATAAGGGTATTACCCCATAATTTTACACTGATGAATATTATCCCTCACCTCTCAAATCATTTCTATTTGTTGATCTAAAATTTAAAATTATAAGTAACCACTAAAAACTATAAAAAATTATAAGTGGCCTTTTGATTAATACAAAACTACAAATAACTCCTTGCAGAATTTTAAAATAACAAGATCCCCCTTTAAATTCTAAATACTATAAAGAACTCTCTGGATATATAAAAATTACAAACCATCACCTTTATATTTTTTTTTTCAAAAATCATAGACAACTCCCTTAAAACTCCAAAAACTACAAACAAATGTCTTAAAATATGAAAATTACAAACAACCCCTCAATAATCTAAAACTATAAAAGGTCCCTGATAAAATCTAAAAGTTGTAAGAAGAGCCTAAATGGTCAAAAAATTACAAAGAACTACCAAAAAATTTTTAGTACACAAATAGGACACCAAAAAATTTAAAATTTAAAAATTAGAAACAACCTTGTGAAAAATCTCAAAATTACATAAAAACCCTAGAAAGTAATTAACAACAATTAGTAGGGGTTTCCAGCTAAAAGCTAGTGGGGTAAAGTGAGAAAACTAAATACATTTCATATCCTTATTTTGTATTACTATTATTAAAAATGCTCTGACTTAATTTATTTACTTCTGAAGAAGAAGCAATAGTTGAAAGGTTAATTTCAAATTTTTTAAATGGAAGTAATTTCAACTATTAGAAGCAAAACAATGACCAAAAAATAAATTCATAAAAAACAAACAAATCAGATATACATATAGAAAAAACCAAATCAACCTAAGCACATGCATTTAAATTTGATTTTAACATATAAAAAGAATGTTACAAACTGAAAATCCTTAACATATGACATTTTCTACTAATTCTAATAGAGCTAGTAAATGTATTTTTTTGGGTGCATCTTTCACGAAACCTAGAGACATCCAAACTCACCAAGATTGCTCCTCCTCCGTCTTTATATACCCCTGCACCTCCTGCGTTAACCCTAAAGAAAAAAAAACCCTCTCTCTCTCTCTCTCTCTCTCTCTCTCTCTCTGACTTCTCTCTCATCTTTCCGATGGCTGGAAGCGGGGAAAAACCTACATGTGGCTACATCGTCTACGTTGTCACCGTCGCCATCATCATCGGCGGCCTCATCACCTTCTTGCTATGGGCTTTTACACTCCCTGATTCCCCCGAATTCTTCGTCTCAGGATTCGAGGTCTCAAACTTCAAGCTCTCCCCCAACTCCCTGACCTCGGACTTCAGCGTCTCCGTCGCCGTTCGGAACCCTAACAATAAGTTCAGCGTCCGCTACGACGATGTCCACGCCGCCGTCCTCTACAGCACCGGAGTCCCTGGCGACGACGTCCTCAACGGAAACGACTTCGTGATCGCCACGAAACCGACGTTCCTTTTCTCTCAGAGGCCTCAGGGCGTCATGCAACGCGAAGTGAGACTGGGGACGGTCGGGTTTCGAGCCGATGAGGGCAGGATTCGCTCGGGGACGGCGAGGTGAGGTTTGTGAGTTAGGATTCACGCGACCGTGGGGTTCAAGGCGGGGTTGGGAGCCGGCGGCTGATTACCACGTGAAGGTTTACTGTGATGATGTTCGGGTTGGGTTGAAGAATTCGACGGTGGCCGGATTTGGGTCGATGGTGGGGCCGGCGAGGGGTTGTGGGGTTTGGTAAACGTACCGAAATGCATAAATTTTTTTTGTTCTTTTGTTCTTTTTTTTCTCAATCAGATGCGAATTAACTGGAGTTAAGATCATTGTCATCTCCTTATATGTTATTTGCTGTTGGATAGAAGTATTGGCTAGCTAGTGACCTCTCGAATAATATTCCTTGTACGTTAATTAGCACGAGCTTTCAGACTGGTTGGCGAGCAAAGAATTAAATTCTAAATCAAGGATTATATTATATGTTCTTGGCTCTCGTATCAATTTTAACAGTTTTTAACGTATCGAATGAATAGAGAGAGGGAAAGAGAGGACAACAAGTTTTGGGGAGACAGGTAGAAAAGGCAGTTTTGGGTTTTCCAAAAAAGTTTCTCTTTTTTGTGCCTGGAAAATATAAAAAGGACTGAAATAACATAACTTTATGTATTAGGGGCTTTGGCACACAAAAAAATACAGGGGTCTTGTAAATTTTCTAGAACCCCTGATATTTTTTAGAATTTTAGAAAATTACTAAAACGGTTTGATTTTTTACCCTTAACCCTATAAGAATATTACCCCATAATTTTACACTGATGAATATTATCCCTCACCTCTCAAATCATTTCTATTTGTTGATCTAAAATTTAAAATTATAAGTAACCACTAAAAACTATAAAAAATTATAAGTGGCCTTTTGATTAATGATCTAAAATTTAAAATTATAAGTAACCACTAAAAACTATAAAAAATTATAAGTGGCCTTTTGATTAATGCAAAACTACAAATAACTCATTGCAGAATTTTAAAATAACAAGATCCCCCTTTAAATTCTAAATACTATAAAGAACTCTCTGGATATATAAAAATTACAAACCATCACCTTTATATTTTTTTTCAAAAATCATAGACAACTCCCTTAAAACTCCAAAAACTACAAATAAATGTCTTAAAAAATATATATATATCTTTTTGGTCAATGGAAAATTTTATTCATTTACCAATGGGAGAAATGTATATACATCAAGATCTCAAGCACTGAGAGATCAAAAACCTGAATACATTGTATACAAAAACTTCAAAAAATCATTAAGAACTGACAGGTTACAAAGATTGCAACCAATGCCGAAACTCCTCCTGAACTTGTGAATTGAGAACAGCAGATAGAATGTCCATCTTTATTCTCTTAATCAATTGAGTAGCAGTTCTAATCTCCTGTTGAAAGATTCTGAGATTTCTCTCTGTCCATATATTGTAGATTGCTGCCGTAAATGCAATTCTTCTGATTCCCTGTTTGAAACCTTTTCCCCTTAACTTTGTACAAAACCACTCCAAGATAAGATCCCACTCACATGATCTCCAGGTAAACTGAAGCCAACTCATTATGCCATTCCAGACCTCAGAAGAGAATTTACAGGAAAAGAATAGATGATTTCTGTTTTCCAATTCAGTTCCTGAGCACAAGCAACATGAACCGTCAATTGTTAACCCTCTCTTCATCAATCTGTCCTTAGTAAGTAATTTGTTCAAGACAACAAGCCAACTTATAAAAGAATGTTTAGGATAGCACAATTGATCCCAAACAGTATAATGCCTGCTAGATTAGTTGTTCATGATAAACTACTGGAAAATTAACATTATCATCTCATGACTATTGATGATATGCATGGTTGGCGTGTTTCTAAATTGATTAATTTAATTAGTGGGCATATTTCTCATGACTATTGACTATTGGGACAATCTAATGACAAGGAAATCCAAGTGTCTAACTAGATCTCTATTCATGATCGGAATGCGTTCAAGTGATCAGAAGCATATTAATCCGTCTAAATGGAAGTGTGCGAAGTTGAAGTCTTACCAATCGGATATATTACTTCATTATCATATTTTGCATTAGACTTTTTTTTTTCTTTTTCCTTTTTTATTATTATTGAAGATTTTGCATTAGATTATTGAAGATTTTGCATTAGACTTCGCTATCATATTAATCCGTCTAAATGGAAGGGTACGAAGTTGAATCTGAAGCAAGGACAAAGGACAAAAAATCGTTCCCCGTGCTTCGCGGGCACTTCAACTCCTTCTCTTCTGACAACGAAAACGTCGCTCTCACTGTTTCTCCCGCCCAATCCGTCGGTCGACCGGTGCGGTCGACCGATGGAGCTTTCGGTCGACCGGACCGGTCGACCGACAGACTCTCTATCGCCCAGTGAAGAAAGATCAAATGATCGGTCGACCAAAATCTGATACATGAAAAATGAAGTCTGAAAGCTGTTTTGCTGATTTTAAAACACTGTTTAAAAATATCAAATAAATTCCGAAAAATATAAAACTTTGGGGAATGATTGTAGACATGATAATAAACATGCTACAGTGAATTTTGAAAAAGGACTTCCCAAATGAAAAATATCATCATTTTGCAAAATAGTCCAAAACACGAAAATGTAAACATGTGAATTTTGACATTTTGGCTAAACCAACTTTTGAAACTTTACAAAACACTAGCTTTCAGACTGTCTGGCGAAATAAGGAAAATGATTTAACGACCCAAAATATGGAATCAAGGGAGGGGACAGGTGAGGTGTCCCCTCCCTATTGCATAATGAGTTGGCATGACCAACTCATTATGCAATAGGGAGGGGACACCTCACCTATTCCTCAACTTAGTACCAAGTTGCCTCCAAACAACTTGTATGATGTGGTCTAATCTTATCTCTAATCTACATTGGAGTTAGTGAAGGGTGGTTGAGGCTCTATCTTCGAGGTGTGATGTAGGGGCTAAGATTAGGCCATAACACTACCAAGTTGCTTAAGCCACTTGGTACCAAGGTTCTCCATTATTATAGTATATATATATATATATATATATATATATATATATATTATATATATATATAATATATATATATATATATATTATATATATATATATAATATATATATATATATATATATATATATATATATATATATATATATATAACTATAAGTATATATATATATGAGAAAAATGGGTATGCTTGGTACCAAGCACAAATTTTGTGCTTGGTAGTGAGGTGTCTCATTCTCATCCACTCGTGGGAAAGCGGAACAAGGCTTGTTCCACCTTCTCACGCGAGGGTAGCCACAGGATTTAAGGAAAATCAGGATTTTGTGATAATATGCGACGAAAATCGGTGAACATAAATGGAAGGTAAGATCTTTGAGAGAATCCCTCTCCTACTTTCCCTCCTGATTTTCCCTCTAAATTTTCCCTCTATTTTTTTCACCAGAGCGATCTTTCTCAACTATATAGCACTATTTTTTGGGGAACAATCAAGAAGAGAGAAATTATCAGTCGATTGGGAGCAATTGGCGACGGGAGGTAAATGATCTGAGGTTTTTTTATCTAAATAAATTCCTATTTCTTGATTTTCATATTCTTATTTTTTTGATTTTATACTTTCTCCTTTCCTTTGTGAAAAATTGAATGATTGGGAGCAATCAGAGTAATTTAGTTCATGTGATCTTGGTTTTCAACAAAGTTTTAATAGGACATAAATTTATCATGTTTACTGGCACTGGTTTATTTGAAGAAAATTTTCATGAACAAAATATACTTCCAATTATACTTTTAATTCTTAATCAAACATGTTCATTCCTGAGCAAAATTCCAATTATACTTACATGTATATGCCTATCTACTTCAAATTCTCAAATAAATGTACGAATGTAAATTGAATGCAAAATATAAGTCCTACTTTATGAGTTATAAAAATGATACATGTGTAACTACAAAAATGATATTGTCTTCATGAATTTTTCCACTATTTAGAGGTCCTGGTCAGGTATACTAGCATAGGTTTATTTGAATATTATCCTGAACGAGTAATAAAGTTTGTAAACATGAACAACATAATAAAGTAGGTTGGTTGTTGAGATCTATAAGCATTTGGTTAAAATTTAATAGGAGGTCCTGTAAGTTTACATGCATCTTTTCTAGGATCTTCAATAAAGATTGTGCATTATCAAAGCATCCCTGTCAATTAAAGATGACTACATCAAAAGATTATACTTACATGTATATGCAATTCTACTTTTAATTACTTGGTGTCAGATCATTTATACTTTTAATTCTTAATCATTTATGTATACATGTATCATAGTTCTTGACATAATCACTATAACTAAGTGTCTGTGGAATCATAAGTGGAATAACAAACTTTTCTTTTGAACATAATGTCTGGAATCAATTAGTGGAATACCAAACTATGTCTGGAATCATAAATGCACACAATGCTATGTGTGATTGGTGTTTTTCCATTTACTGAACTTATGGTTATGTACATCCTTCCTCATATTTCTATGTTTTTTCCACTTGCTGAACTATGTCTGGACACAATCATAAATGGAATAACAATGTTATGTGTGATTAGTGTTTTTTTCCATTTATTGAACTTATGGTTATGTACATTCTTCCTCATATTTATATGTTTTTTCCACTTACTGAACTATGTATGAACTATGTATACATGTATCATAGTTCTTGACATGTATTATTTAAATTTCTATCATTATAACATTTGAATATTATATAATTAAAACTATGATATATTTATTATGAATTTTCTACCGCAGGAAAATGATGAATATTTAAGAATTAAGAACAAACCCTTTCCTCAGTTTGATGATATGGATTTTCTATGTGGAGGTAACACATCTAAGGGGCGCTGGTGGTTTGGGACTACCGATGACTTCAATGAGCGTGAAGGAAGCACTAGTTCAGATAATGAATTAGATGATACTGAGGGGCGACACAGTAACGAGATAGATTTGAGTGATTCCGAGGAGGTACAAGTAGTGGAAGAAACACAAGTTCCTTTTAATGGTACACAACTACCATCACAGCCAATATCTATTTCTACTCTAAACATAAAGCAGCAAGCTCAACCATCAGGTTTAAAGCATAAGTTTAAAAATATTTCTCGTCGTCGAGTATCAGGTATTGAAGTTAAAAATAATTTGTCAAAGATGATTGAGCTACAAAAGCAGCGAATTGAAATTACAAAAGAGCTAGTAGATTCCAAAAAATGTGTGCCCACTGAAATGAAAGAGTGCATGGATAAGATAATGAATTTACCAAGTGTAACTAGTGATCTATGTGTGGCAGGAGCAGAAGCTATTAAAAAGAAGGAGAATAGGCATGTTGTTAATATGCTTAACGGTCAAATGCTATTATCATGGCTG